CTCATAGAACGAATATTACTGCCAGGACCAGCAGTTGGTATAATGGCTATGTCACTGGACTTCCATGTAGTCCACCATGGTTCGAGTCCTGGACCTGGTGGCTTAAATTCATACCAGATGCGTGTGCGTGTGTGCCCAAGATCCTGAGAGGAGAAGGGATTGTGGCATCGCCATCCCCCCTTGGGGGCTGATTTCTTGCTTTCTATCTCTCTGTCTCTGTCTTTCTGGTGAGCACACATGCCCTATAGCAAAAGCCTCTCAAAACAAAAAATTTAATATTGCTGAGATAAAACTGGAAATTATTTAAACTAGGCAATCGGACCTGATGAGTTGTGTTGTAGATTTTTTTTTTTGGGGGGGGAGAGGTTTTTGCTATAGGACACGTGCTCACCAGAGAGAGACAGCGAGACAGAAAGCGAGAAATCACCCCGTAGGGGGGATGGCCACGCTGCAATCCCTTCTCCTCTAGGGATCTTAGGCATGCACACACACGCACCCAGCATGAGTTTAAGCCACTGGTTCCAGGACTCAAACCACTATTGACTACATGGGAGTCCGGCGACCTAACCATTACGCCAACTGCTGGTCCCGAGTTGTGGATTTAAATTGGTTGATTTTGTGTTCCACTGTGAAGAAAAAACGTATGAAATATTGGAATACATTAAAGACATTGTCTAAGGGTGACCTCTAATTAGGGATTTTATATTTTATATTTTAAATCCCCCACGTAAGATGAGCTATTCTGGGTTTTGTACATTTATTCAGGAATATTTCATATATGAAAGGTACTGTCTGAGTCACCTAGAATAAGCCCATGCTTTAGACCAAGGAATAGAATTCAAAGGGGGCCCCATTCACTGCATTTAGTTAGTCAGCTATTTTTCAAATGCTATAGAGTATATGCACTCACAAGAGGAGAAAGAGAGAGAGGAAAAGCACCCTTCGATAGACTGTGGTCAGGCCACAATCCTTTTCCTCCATTTCTCCACCCTGTCAGGATTTAGGGCACACACGTACACTAGACCAGCCTGATGGAGGCAGAGACCAGGGCTCACTCGAATCTTTCTGGCTCCTCCACAGATGCTAAGTAACACTGCGGCATGCACATAGCAAGGCTCCCATCCCCCAGCAGAACTATGAGCCCACCTAAGGTGCTCTAATCGTCATGGTAAAGGTAGGAGCCCATATAAGCAGCTCTACTCCTCACGGAGAAGATGAGCCCGCCTAAGCTGCTTCTGCAGCTTCTACCTGCGCTTGCCCACCTTAGGTTTCCCAAGGGAGAGCTTGCAAATCCTCTACTGAGCTATCTCAGCCAATTACTAAGGTAGCTCCAACTGGCCTTCCTGTCCCAGCCTCTCCATCCCCGTCTGCCACTCCCTTTGCAGCCAAGGACTTTGTTCTAAAACAGAGTTGATCAGCCCTGCTCAGAAAAGGGTAGTATGGTTCTCCCTAACATAGGAACACAAGCTGGCCACCTCGGCCTTATTCTGGCATTTAAAGGCCCTAGGGTGTGTGGTCCACAGCCTCCCTAGTTGTCACTACTGGCCACTCTCCCCCCATGCACACCCTGTGTCCCCATCATCTCAGTCACGTTCTGCTCCTTGAACACACTACCCTGCAATGTCATGGCTGCTGAGCTTTGCATAGTCTCTTTGCTGGGCTTGAAATGCTTTCTTCCTGTCATCTGTATAGACCCCTTTAAAAGCTCATATGTCACCTCCTCTGTGAAGGCTTCTCTAACCCCGAGCAGCAATTATCTTCATTCCTCTGGGACCTCTTTTCACCCCCTTTACGCACACCTTAATGCACCGTTAGCAAAGGTTATACCATACCCCACTGGTCATTTTGCATGTCTTTCCCCGGTAGATGTTAAGTGTCACCAGGGCAGGGATCATGGCTGTATCCTATGCTTTCCCATGAGGCCTGAAACTCATTGGCTGTGAACAACCTTTACCTGGAGAATGTCTGGGTAGGTGGGTAGGAAGGTAGGCAAGCAGTACAGAGAATGTCCCCATAAACCCTGGGCTGGGGAAGGGACAGTTGGGGCACTGATGGGGTGACAAGTGAGAGGGCTAGAAAGTATGAAGCAAGCAAGGGGCCAGGGTGAGAGACAGGAGGAATGAGGGGAAGAGAAGGGGAAGTGAGCGTGAAGGAGGGTGAGCAGAGATGAGGGACTATAAGTGAGGAGGGCCAGGCTTTGAGTGGGGAGTAATACATGCAAGTGGGGGGGTTCAGTGGAGGGAGGGTGCCGGGATGCAGGAGCAAGAAGAGGTGAGAAAGCAAAGGGCAGCTAGCCAGTGAGCAGCCAGCTAGTGGTGTGAGGAAACGGGTGCTGTGAGCCAATCACGTGAGGAGGTGGCAAGGTAGTAAAAACCAGGTCTTGAAAGTCCACCTGGCTGTGTGGAAGGCTGAATATCCCACCACATCTTGACTCAAACAAAGTTAACACAATACAGGCCAGAGCTTAGTTTTGCTCCCAGACTGCTAGTGGGCCCTTCCTGACAAAATCTAATCAGACTGAGGAAGGAGGAAGGGGTAGTGGAGGTGAATCCTGACCTGATCCGAGGAAGAGAAGGAAAGCTTTTGCTTCTGTCCCAAGGAACAGCATGTCAAGGGGCCCAGAGACTAGCTGGCAATACGCCGATCCAAAACCTCGACTGGGCCTCACTTACCATGGAAAGCAGGCCTGGAGCCGAGTGCCTGAGTTTAAAATTTTCATCTGCAAATGGTCCCCGGTAAATACTGGCAACTCCAGTACCATCTCCCTGCGCACAAAGAAGGAACATGTCAATAACTCTAGCCCCTGGAAACCAGAGAATACTTGAACCCTGGCTTCTTTTAAGTCTACTCATACTCTTGTTGGTCACCTTGGACTACCTCCCACAATCACGTCAAGTATCAAGCAGGCACCTGCAGCCCACGAACTCTGGTCACGCATCTGGAGATTGGCAAAAGCAGGTCGCAGCTGGCCCCCTAGAAGATGGGTTAAGACAGGCCACATAGGGAACAACAGCAGTACAGTGCTCACTGCCTAATCCTTGCCATTCACAAAGACCATCACATCAGCATCACATAAAAGTACCCACTGGGGGCTGGCAGGTGGCGTAGTGGTAAGGGTGCTAGACTCCCACATGGCCAACTGTGGTTCAAGTCCCGGGCCAGGCAGCTTGTTTTCTCACTCCCCTCACCCCCCTTTCTCTCTGTCCCTCTCTCGTCAAATTAAACAAATAAATACAGTTAAATAAAATAATAATAATTTTTTTTTTTAAAGCACCCACTGAAGTGACTCCCACCAAATTCCCCTGACCTATGAGAGTGGTAAGCTCTCGGCAGTCTGGTCTGACGATACCACCAAAGCAGACTGGTCCAGAGAAGGATGCCTACCCCACACTGCACCAACCAGAGCCCCTTCCCTAATAATCAAAAGTGGGATAGACACTCTCTTTGAGGCTGAATTTTTATCATGTGCATCTGGAAGTTGGAGGTGACTGCATTCCGCAATGGGGACGAGAGAACAAAAAGAAACTGCAATGGGACCAGCAGTTAGTGTAATGGCTATGTCGCTGGACTCCCATGTAGTCGACTGTGGTTCGAGTTCCAGACCCTGTGGCTTAAATTCATGCCGGGCACGTGTGCGTGCGTGCCCAAGATCCAAAGAGGAGAATGGAGGAGAAAGGACTGCGGCGTGACCATCCCCCCCGGGAGGTGATTTCTCGCTTTCTATCTCTCTCTCTATCTGTCTGGCGAGTGTACGCGCCGTATAGCCAAAACCTCCCTTATAAAAAAAATAAATAAATAAATGGCAAAACAGATAACACAGATGTGTACAGAGCACCAGAGAAACAGGTAAGTGCCTAGGTTCTGTGTGGTTTTCCATTCCCTAGTCCTAGTTCTTTCTTTGGTTCCATGCAAAGCCCACCTTATAAACTCGCACTTTCTGCTGAAACTAGCTTTATGTGTGTTATCTCTGCTCTTCCAACACCTCTGTGCAATAAGCATTATCATCCTCCCCATTTTTCAGGTGAGCAAATGAAAAACAACTTGACTAAGGCCACCTCTGCAGTTCTTAAATAGAAATCTTCATGGCTTACAGGTAAATATTGGGGGGTGTCAAAAAGGTTAATCTCCCCTACAAAGAGAGAGAATAGTGGTTGCTAGGAAAGAAAAGAAACACTGACCCAGGACAGAATCAAGGATCCCCTTTCGGGGTAAACATGATCAAAAGTGATTAATATAAGCCACAGAAGAAAGGCAAACTTTCCAAATTCAAAATATGGCTAAACATTACCAAATAAAAGCAAGTTTCAAATAGCGAAAAGACCAGGATTTGAGTTCCAGTTCTATCGTCTCTGAGCCTCAACTTCCCTCTCTACCAAGTGAGAATAAGTTACCTAGTCTTCACAGTTGTCAAGAAGATTCAAGATAGTGTCTTTGAAAAGCACTTTGCAAATAATTTAATACTAAATAATCTATTATATAATTAGCTTCCTATATACAGAAGGAAGAGAGAAAACAAAATCATTCCAATTTCCCAATAAACCTAAGAGACAGCTAAGTTACCATGTCATTCTCAATAATCACACTATCTTACTGTTTTCCAGAAGCAGGAGTTGTAAGGAAAATAACAAAGTTATTCAGAGTAAAAAAAGAAAGCAACTTAAATCTTCAAATTGATCGAATAAATTGCCTATTTACAATGGACTATTAGGTAGCTATTAGAACGTGTGCTTTACAAGATTGAATGACAAGGGAAATTGTAGACAATTATTAAGTACAATAAAAGGAAAATACATGTATGATCTTAAGTCTATTAAATATCCATAAACACAAAGACTGACAACCATAGCCAAAATGCCAATAATAAACCCCTGAAGAGGTGAAATTGAGGGTGACTTATTCTCTTCTTTAAACTTTTTTTTTTTTTTTTGGAGAAGGTTTTGCTATAGGGTGTGTGTGCTCACCAGAAAGACAGAAAGAGCGAGACAGAAAGCTGCCAAATCACCTCCGGGGGGATGGCCACACCACAATCCCTTCTCTATTCTCCTCTCAGGATCTTGGGCAAGCATGCAAACATGCCTGGTGTGAGTTTAAGCCACTGGATCTGGGACTTGAACCATGGTTGACTACATGGGAGTCCAGCAACATAGCCATTACACCAACTGCTGGTCCCTGAACATATTTTTCTTAAGAATTATTTATTTTAATTATTATTATTATTATTATTATTACTTAATTTGCTATAGGACATGCACGCTCACCTGAGTAAGCAAGCATGAGAGAGAGAGAGAGAGAAAGTCACCATATCTGGGATTTGAACCATTGTTGGCCACGTGGGAGTCCAGCACCTTAACCATCATGCCAGCTGCTGGCCCTGAACTTTTACTTTTAATTGCTAGAGGCATACACACTCACCAGAAAGAGGTGAGGGAAGAGAGAGAGAGAGAAAGCACCCACCCACACACCCAGTGGAGCACAGTCGTATCACAATCTCCTCGCCTCCATTTCTCCATCCTGTTGGAACTCTGGACACACATGCATAGGCACCTGCACGTTTTTCAAGCTGTGGGCAGTAATTTGATCCTACAGTGGCCCATGTGAGATCTGGCTCCCTTAGCCACAAGGCTACGGGACTGGGCCTTCTTTCCACTTTTCTTTTGCAATCAATAAAATGAAATAGCAAATATTACTAAACAGTTATTTTTGGTCCAAAACTTGAGGTCTCAAATTCTGCTTCTTCAGTCTCTTGTTCAGTCTACTTTGTCTTCCCTAAGGAAGGCTCAAAGCGATTGTTTCTCTCACACTCAACTTCCAGACTGATGAACCACTGTCTAGCCCTGGGACCATCAACAAGTGGCTGGAAGTGCCTAGGGCAAAGACCAGTATGAAGTTGGTCCTGCCCCTGTAAGACAACCCCCAGTGCAGGAGACAATGGGAAGAAAGGAAAGAAGGCAGAAGATGGCTTCTCAGCCCTTTTTAACCAGCTCATAAGCCTCACTCCTATCACTTGTGGCCAGGGATGACAAACTTAAATGCCTACAGAGCAGATGACGTAAATAAGGGAAGCAGGCCGAGACTGTTGGAAATAGCAAGGATATGCCTTGACCAAAATGATCACTTACTTGATTCTAATTGTCACTGTATGAAGAATGCAGGTCTTATTTTCCATTAAGATGTTTTTCTTTATTCATGATAGTGTGTGTACATGCACTTAAGAGGGAGAAAAAGAAAGTGCCAAGCACCCGCCACAGGGTCTGGTCACACCGATCCCTTTCCTCCAGTCCTCCAGTCTCTCATGTATGTGCCTGGCATGTTTCACACTGACAGCTGGGGATTCAAACCACAGTTGCCATGTGAGATCCAGCTTCTCTTGAGCAGCATGTTACTATGTTGGCCCTATATTCCTTTTTATTAAAAAACTGTGAGGTAGGGGCCAATAGGTGGTGTGATGGTTGAGGTGCTGGACTCCCACATGGCCAACCAGTGTTTGAGTCCCAGACCCGGTGGCTTCCTTTCCAACTTTCTCTCTCTTTCACACGTGTGCCCTATAGCAAAACTCTAAAGGGCATTCCCGTCACCACCCTCTCAAATGACCCCAACTTCAAACAAATTTGGCTAATGTTCTCAAGGCTTCAGATTGGGTCCCTGCAGTAAAATGATAAGTAAATAAAAAATTGTAAGGGCTTGTGCACTGGACAGAGAGAGAGACACAGAGACAGAGAGAAAAAGGGAGAAAATGTCCTTTAATGGGGCATACTCACACCTCAATACCTTCTGCATTTCTCCACCCTGTCAGGATTTTAGGTGTGCACACACGTGTGTCCAGTGTTTTTTAGAAGCCTTGGGGGTTAGGATTCAAACCATGTTCAGCCACATGGTATCCAGCTCATTTAACTATCATTTCCCATTTTTAAACAGAAATTTCCAGAATTTTTTGGTGAAATTTCCCAGTTTTACAACACTATGCAGATGAAACAAAATATATCTGAATGTATAATCCAGCCTAAAACCTGCCTATCCTAACCTGAATAGGATAGGAGAGAGGTCTTTAAAAACTCATGAAAGGGAAACGGCAGTTAGCGTAATGGCTATGTCGCTGGACTCCCACGTAGTCGACCTCAGTTTGTGTCCCGGACCCAGTGGCTTAAAACTCACGCC